GTGTGACGGGGCGGGGGGGGGTGACAGAACTTAACGCAGTGATGCAGGTCCAGCCAGGAGGGGACACAGCAGCGGCCCGCAGGTGGGTTCCTCTTCCCCGTGTGTGGGGCAGCCCCGTGGCTTCGTAGCCGCATCTATAGCAGGCGGGCCTGAAGAGTGTGTAGCTTGCAAAGGACAGGTGATGTAGCTAAGTGACAACACAGAAACGAGCCGTCAGCTGCCCGTCCAGCTGCCGGGCCCAGCGGTGTGTGTCGAGCCCCTAGCAGTGTCTCCAGTGCTAATCTTAGGGAGGGGTTCTGGGGTGTCTTCAGCGTGCGTCCTGACCCGACCCTGACCTACTGTACAGGGTGGTGGCCTTTTGTCCTCACTGCGGGCAATGAAGCTGCCTGAGAAATGCACCAAGGTGGAGGAGGAGCGCAGGAGGGAGGGGCTTCGGTGTCTCCCGATAAGCAGTCCTCTCTCTCCTCCTTGCTGAGCTAAACCTAACATGTTGGCTCAGTGCTGTTCTCTCAAGGCTGGTTTGCCATCTGCTGGTCGGGGGCAGGGCCATCCACAGGAAGGGGTGGCAGGGGAGCCTGTGAGGGGACTGGCATGGAAAGTCGTTGGGAAGGGCTGAGTTCCGGTTCCCGCCACCCACCCGCAACAGGTTTATTCGAAGGCTGCCTGCACCAGGCAGTGAACAGCCAGCGGAGCTGCATGAGCTCGGCACCCAGAGGAGGGAGGGACCCTTGCTATTGCGCACGGGCTGCCGTGGTTTGCTGTGTTGTCCTCAGGCTTGGTCTCTAGCTGCCCTGGAGAAGGTGGCAAGCCAGGGGTGGCTTCCAGTGTAGAAGGGTACATGCTGGGAAGTGCTGGTAGGTTCCAGAAGACTCTAGGAAGCTCCAGAAGGTCCTAGGAGGTTCCAGAAGGGCCTGCACACGGGGCAAGGAGCTCTGTGGAAGCACGGCCCTGTTTGCCCTCACAGCGAACCCTGTGTTGTTTCTTAGATGAAGTCCTGAGCTGTCGGGGTGTGCATTCCACCCTGCGGCTTACTGTTTTATATTTTGTGTCATGGTTGTTCTAAAGGTGGTGTACAGAGGGTGTACAGAGTACCTTGCTTCATGGACGTCACCTCTTCCTTCACTCCCGCAGCTTACTTCTTAGAGAGGAGGTGACCCTGCCGCCCTGGGACGGGCTCCCGGGGAGGGGAGAAACGCTCGGACCATCGGGGTGGGGCCATGTCACGCGGAGTCCCCGGGTTCCAGCCGTGCTGAGGGCTGGACTGTCACCTCCGGCTGCTGGCTTTGGGCAGTCCTGGGCCGATGCTCAAGACCAAATCACTCAACATCCATCCAGCGGGCTCTTGTGGGTATCACTGGATGGTGCTCTGCACGTGACGAAGGTTCGGGCTCCCCGGGCCTCCCTGTGGGGGAGGACGAGGGACACTCCCAGGTGCACGGTTCTGATGGCACCGTGCTGTGGGGAGCCGTCTAGGCTGTGCCTCGGGCTTCTCGGGCCCAGGAGGCGCAGAACACGTCCTCCCTGCTTCCTCCCTCACCAGACTCCCAGAGTGCGTGGGATGGGCCGGCGCTGGGCCCCTGCTCAAGGCAGTCCTGTTGGAGGGGAAGGGTGGGGAGGGGAGGGCCTTCCTCACTACCCCGTCCTTCTTTACCCTTCTCATTGAGACTGAGCACAAGGAGTCCATGGTGTTACCTGCAATTTTGCGATGTGACACAAACGCCAGAGCATCCACGTGGCCAGAGACCCTGTTGGCAGTGCGAATTCCCGGGTTCTCCTGCAGAGCGAGGGGATCTGGACAGAAGGCCCTGCCAGCTGTGCTTGAACCTGTTACCTCCCAGCCAAGTGTGGTAGCGCAAGCCTGTAGTACCAGTTTGGGAGGCAGGAGGATTATGAGTTTGAGGTTAGCCTGGACTACTAGCAAGACCCTGTCTAAAACAAACAAAAAAAAGGTTACTGCCTAGTTGTTCCTGGCACTGGCTCAGGTTTGGTAAAGGCTCACCCAGGGAGGTTCCCTGCCTCCCTGCTGGCCTCCAGGCTGGGCTCCCCAGCTATCCTGCAGAGTCAGGGGTAGGGGTCCTGTCCCCCACTTGGCTACAGGTTTAGGAATTTTTCCAGTGGTTGGTTGCAGATGAACCTAGGGAATGAAAATGGCTCCGACTCTAGGGTCCCTACTCTAGAGTAGGTCCCTACTTTAGCTAAGGAAAGTGGGAGAGGAATAGGAAAGGACTCTGGCCCGGCTCTCTGTGGGGAATAAGGAGGAAGCTGAAGATGGTAGGGAAAGGCGGATTGTGCAGCCTCATCAGAATTCTACCTGCTAAGAAATCGGGCAGATTTCCTTTTTCTTTTTGTTTTGTGACTATTCTTATTTCAGTTACGTAGAGGTGGGCTTCCAGGAGGTGTAATAAGAAATAAATCTGGCTTCCTCCAGGAGTGGAGAAGAAACCCATCAGAAATGGGATGGAGGAGTTGAAATTTTATCTAGGAGCTCAGGAGAAGCTGGGAAGATTGCCAGAAAGTATATAAGAAGAGAAGGGTCTTCTAGCCCCAACAAGAAATGATGGATAATGCGCCTCAGCATAGCCCTCATTTATTTTTAGTATATTCACCAGGCTAAATAATAGAATTAGCGATTTATTTTGGCGAAATAACAAGATAGAAAAGATCGATTAAAATAACAGATTGTTTGTCTTGCTTGAATCCATTATTGGGCAAAACCCTTTAAACAGGGAAAAGTTCTCTGTTCTTTATTTTCATTATTCTGGACATCTATTGGAATAAATTAATTATGTTTCCTCATGCTCTGTTTTACTAAATAATCCCTAAGAAACCTGAGTGCCTTCCAGGCATCAATCTTAACTGAAAGACAAAAAATAGGAGCCAGGGGTTGTGCCCCCCAACACTGCACAGAATGACAGAAACAGCCTGCTCCTTTTCTGAGGGCAGGACTCCCCCAGGGGCAGAGAAGCCGGAGCTGGCCCTGGCTTGTGGAGGCCTGTGGGATGCCGCCATCCCAGTCCATCGATCACATCACCGCATCGCGTCTTCAGACCTCCGAGCTAGGAGCTGCTTTACTTGGGCAAACTCCAGGTTCTTGCAGATTTGCACTCCTCTCTCTCTCTCTCTCTCTCTCTCTCTTCCTTTCCCCCTCTCCTTCTCTCTCTCTCCCTCTCCCTCTCCCTCTCCCTCTCTCTCTCTCTCTCTCTCTCTCTCCTTGTTATATCCAGGTGGTGGTTGAGGAAAATCTGCATAATGTAGAAGTTATTCTTCCTCAGCTTATGAAGTCTATTTGGTTTGAAGCCAGGGAGAGAAGTCTGAAATTCCACAGGGGCGGAGGGGTGGTGTTACCAAGTTCTTGCTCTGACAGTGGAACTCGGTAGTTGATGGTTCAGGGTCTCTCTGTATCCGTCCTAACCTGTGCTGCCCTTTCTCTGGGGTGACAGATGTGCCCTCAGCCGAGCCCTGAAGCCACTGCCCACCCATTTCTATCACGGCATTCTTTTTGATTGCATGCA